CAGGACTCATGGGAGGTGGTGACTCACTAGATCTGGCATCACTAGAAGCTAGACGGCGACTACTCGACGCACAGTCCGGTTCAGGACTCATGGGAGGTGGTGACTCACTAGATCTGGCATCACTAGAAGCTAGACGGCGACTACTCGACGCACAGTCCGGTTCAGGACTCATGGGAGGTGGTGACTCACTAGATCTGGCATCACTAGAAGCTAGACGGCGATTACTCGATACACAATTTGGTGCAGGTCTCACGGGCGATGGTGAACCGCTAGACCAATCAACATTGGAAGCAAAAAGGCGACTACTTGATGCGAAATACGGAGGAGGATTTATGGGTGCTGGTGGTGACTCTCTGGATCCGGCTTCATTGGAGGCCAGACGGCAACTACTCGGGGCACAGTATGGCGCGGGTCTCGTGGGTGATGGTGACTCGCTAGACCTGGCATCACTTGCGGCTAGACGGCATTTATTAGATGGAAAATATGGCCCAGGACTCATAGGTGGTGGTGAATCATTGGATCCGGCATCATTGGAAGCTAGACGTCGACGACTCGGTACACAATATGGCGCGGAACTCATGGGTGGTGGTGAAGCAATGGACCCGGTATCAATGGAAGCTGAGCGGGACGTACTCACTAGGAGGTACCGAGAAGAAATGATGACATCAGATGGAATTCCGGGTGGTGTAATCGATCCCACAACTCGCGCCATGTTGAGGCATCTTGCTGCAGAGAAAGCCAAACGACGATCAGAAGCTTTGAAATCTTCCGACCCGGAGAATTGGATGGATGTGGAAATTATTGAGGACCATATGAATTCCATAGGCGAAAATCAATACATGGATGAGGTACGGAGGCGTCCAGTAACCGTGGAGGATCTTGCCTTTGAACAAAGTACTTTAGATAGAGCAGATCGCTCTCTCCGAACCAAGGTGTCCATGCCACATCAAAGGAGAAGTTCATTACATACCACGAGAGGAATGGGCGCTTTTGCAGTGAGCGGTGATCAACCTTTGGCAGACGCCACTTTGGATAAATCCGCCGGATTCAGGGCAACTGGAAGAGCGCACCGTGGGTTCGGTCGCGATGTTGGCAGTCGAATAGGTGATGAAATTTACCGACAAGATGCTGACGCTCTATCGAAATCACCAAGCATCTCAGATTCGCGTGACACTTTCGGTAGATTCCGAGTGAGAGGAAGTGAAATGGATAGTATTATTGATAAATACGACTATGGCACAATGGGACTAGCTGATCCTTCAGTTTGGGACCTTACTCAGTCATTAGACACAAAGACACACACCTTTTTGACTGATGCAATGGATTCCACGGTGTTTGATAGTGATGATGATCGCCGAGTTGCAGAAGCTCCACCAGAAGCATTACGAAAGCGTAGAGATTCATCTAGTGGTATCGCCAGGTCACCGCATACATTCGAAAGATTTGGGTCCGGAGAAGGCCAGATCGATCGTAGAAGTCGCAGGTTTGGGAAATATGATCCCAGCATCGGCGCAATGGATGTTTTTCCGGTTGAAGGCTTCGCCAAGTCTCCAAGAGCCCTTGATTTGGCATCGGGTGCACCATCATGGGATGAAGAACAGACCGCTTTAGGTACAAAAACTGAACAGTATGTTAGACAACAACAGATAGCGAGCCGGCGTGGAGGTACAAGAATGCAAAAGGGGCTTGATAAAGATGCTGAGATGTTATTCGGTGACTCCGTCACACCGGATGGGTTTGGTCAGCGCAGCACTGATAGTGAAAGCACTCTTCGCCTCACGCGTTTCCGCAAAGGATTCTCTACATCCCCCAGCGACAGTGCTATATTGCATAGCATCAGTGAAGGACAACGACGTCGATTAACCTTCCCNCCCCTGATGATCGACAGTTGGGTCATAGTGTGGGTCAGACCGAGATGCATAGACCATTATCTGCTGGATACTCCAGTGTGAGGAGTGATTATGACCACGTGGGAAGTCTAGGCAGTGGTCTTCGACAACCTCGTGTACCTGCTGAGGGTTATTCGCTCAGCGAAACAGGATCACAAGGATCAAGTTGGATGCAAACCCGTGTAGGGACAGCCGGGCAACTTGGCGATCCTACAGCATCTACATTCAGTCAAGCTGGTCAAGCTGGTGGTCTCGATTCAAATGCATTTGGAGTCTCCACATATGCGGGCGCGATACCGCACTCCCATAGAGAGAAAGCTTCCCAACAATTGATACCATCTGCTGGAAGAAGGCGAAGAGAATTTCAGGAAAGGTTACTGACAAATAGAGAAGGTGGATCAGCTCTGTCAGACCTGCTAACTGCGGATGTTCCTTTGGGTACTGGCAGGACTGGAAAAGATAGGATGGGTAGAGGTATTTCATTGGAAATGGATTATTCTACGTTTGGTACCTCGACCGATTCAATCATGGCAGGACTAGGTGTAAAAGCATCCTCTCCTGATGGTCGAAGAGGACCTCCATCTTCAAGAGCAGATGAGATTGAAAAATATAAGCCAGGTTTTGGCCGTGGTCATCTGCCATACAATTTGTTCTCGAAATCCGCCGAGGGTGATGTAGAAAGTGACAGTACAGTTGGACAACAATCTGGCAAAGCAACAACTGCAATAACAGGTAGAACACGTGGACATCCACTTACGGGATACCACGTATCACACTCGGCACTGCAACCTGAATCAGATCAGTGGTCTGGCAGATCGTTTCCCATGACGAAAGATGGCATGCGAGCGAGAACTCTCCAGACGGACAGTGGAATGAANCCCGCCGAGGGTGATGTAGAAAGTGACAGTACAGTTGGACAACAATCTGGTTTCGTTGATCACCTAGCAACAACTGCATCAGCTTCCAGAACACGTCGACATTCACTTCCGTTCCAGCGATACCACGTATCACACTCGGCACTGCAACCTGAATCAGATCGGTGGTCTGGCAGATCGTTTCCCATGACGAAAGATGGCATGCGAGCAAGAACTCTCCAGACGGACAGTGGAATGAAATCTGTTGATCGTGGCCAGTCTGGTTTAGACTTTGATTTTCCACGTGAAGATAGTTCTGTTGAAAACTGGAAGGTGTTAGGTTACAGTTCCCAAAAGGATTATATTCGATCTAGGAGTAGCTCGTCTTTGATGCAAAATGATGAGATGCTAGCGTACGTGAGACCAGAAAGTGTTATATCTAAATCTTTGTGGCGGTATGACAGCGGGTCAAGGAGCTTCCGACTACCTTATCCACCAATCGATTTAGATTCGATCGGACAACAGCGTTACCAAAGTATGGTAACCAGTTCTTCAAGCATTTCCCAAAGTTTGGCAGAACTGGACTCATCGTTTGGAATTCATGCACAAGACCGGACTACCATTAAAGCAGCAAAACCTGTCACAATAGATACCAGACTTGGAACAATGGCGCAGAGCTGGCCAGTTACCGATGATTCTGCTACCGCTCAAAGAACCGTGGCTGCTTCTTGGACCAACTATCTTAAACATGATCATGCAAAACAACTGGCAATGGCGAAAAAACGCGAGAAAACGCGTAGAGCTCAGCAACTTGGTCGAGTGATTCTCGAACCGAATCTGATCAAATTACCGGGTGTCATGACAGCACGATGTCCATCAATGACTACCTCATCAGCTAGGGACTATACACCAGCAGCTATCACATGGATTCGAGCCCCATCAATCCGTGATCTGAATGAAGGGAATAAAGAAGAGATCATTCATTTTTCAACAAAATCTCGCATGATTAAAGCTCTATCGAAACGGGATAAAATGAATGAGCGAAGTTACATTTATCCACCACAAAAGTGGAGCGATTCGCACACATTAGATATTATGAGACTCGGTTTGGAAGACTACGGTTTCTACATGTGCGTTACCTCATTCACATCGATCAAAAATCCACAAATCAGCCTCAACGTGACCAAAAGATCGGAGTATCCGTTATGCATCATGCCTGAAAACGAACCGCCAATAATTAGCCTTAAAGGAAATTCCACAACCAGTAAGGATGACACATGCTATCCACCAAATTCGACTTTACTGATTGAATGCCAAGCTCCTGCATATCAAATGTTTTGTGAAAAGACAGACCAGGATACACACGGTGTTCGTCTAATCGATACGGTACTCACAGCTCATTTGCATGTCATTGGTCCGGGAGTGAACATGCGCAAAACGGAAGTCACAGCAGAAGTCAATAGACTAACTCCGTTAGAATTGCCTGGTTCTACTGGATCCACACAAAGAATCACTAAATTATGGACTATTCAACTCAAAGAAGAATATGATCGTGCCTATGTGACGTGTAACATGAATCCCATGGTTACTCAATCACCGCCCGGTGATGTAAGCTACATTCCGTGGTTAGTTGATGAGATCAACGAAAATCAAAAAGGCCACTTCACTAGACGATCATCAGCTTTGCAAATTTGCGTATCTTCCGGTCCTCAACGAATACAATTTGACCCGAATCCGCGAAACGGAACGACGGAGGAGAACGTAACGATCGTTGAAATGACTACGAATCAAATGATCACGTGTACAATTTATGGTGTCGTAGATGATCAGCCACGGATCTCTGTCTATCCCATTCTGCCGGGTAAATCTGAACTGGCACAATCACTAGGTTTGAAGCAAATAGATGATTGGTTGAACAAAGCAGACTATCCTCTACGATGGCCTTCTTATTCGGAAAGAAGAAAAGCCCGATTACTTATACCATCAGGCGGCTTCACTTCGAGAAAACATCTTGTGTTCTGTGAGTCAACATCTGGAAATTTAAACAAGGTAAGTAGCGTTTTAAGTTGACGATGATCGGACTGGAATGATTGCATTTTTGTAAATTTCAACAACGTAAAAGTCTGCTTCCTCAACAGATTCACAATGTCTGATTAGCTAATGCATTTTGAAAGCAGTGTTTTGCATATCAGTTTCCGTACAGCTCCGAGTAGTATTGTGTCATCGCGCAAAGCGCATAGGCAATAAACGAAAGGAGGGTCTCGGTGAATATGAGGTTGCTGATGTCAGTAAGAACCTTCCATCAATGTTTGCCCACGTTGTTTCCCGTAATTCATTCCATGTGGAGTAAAATCAACGGCCCGGATGACCACAAACGTGTATTTTTAACAATTCTGAAATGTTGATAGTGCATTGCGCGTGAACTTAGGATAGTATTTACAACAGCAATGGAAATCGGAATGTAGATCTGCTCTAAGCTGAGCAGAGCATAGCAGGGAAGATGTGCTATACAGATGTCAACGTGGTGAACTGTCGGTGCGGTTCATTTGAGCTTTATGGAGGTAAGGTACTCGTAAAAATAAAATTCAACTCCGAAGTTACTGTTCCTAATAAGGAAGTGCACCATTAAAAATCACTAATTCCCTTGTCTGAACATATGCGCTAAATGTTTACGGTAGTCTACATTGTGACTGATTTGGAAGAGAGATTTCGTATCCTGGAAGAGTACGATTTTTCTCTAACTATAC